TTAAATTTTTTTTTTATTATTTAATAACAGAAAGGCCAAAGGCAAATGACTTTTCGGCCCTTTAACTAGTTCATTCGTAATCGAACTAGTGAACTTCAGATTTTAAGGTGAGCATTATAACCACTAGTCCACCCAGACAATGAATTAATATCCCTAAAAATCTTTCTTTAAGATATTGAAGTATAATTTTTATAGACATAGAATGGAAAATGTGTAAAATAAGAATTTTTTATGTAATAAATGTATATTATATTTTACTTTGAATCTTTGAAACTTTAACTTTAACTTGGTAAATCATGACATAACCTAAAAAATCATTATTTAGCCAAACAGAGGATAGTAAAATTTAATAGTACAGTTTTTAAAAATAAAAATATTACTTAATTTAAAAAAAAGTTCCATATAAATATATTGTCATTACAAAATGTTACTAAAGGCCAAACTAATATTATTTAATTAAGGATAGTCATATTACTATTTAGGTTATTCACGTTACAATGATTACAGTTGCATACCGCAATGCGTTTGATCGAGGCAATTATAATCATTGTTAGTAATGGCTACTTGTACATTGATGTGAGCTATTTCCCTAATTAGTTATATTAGTTGATGGTCAGAATTTAATCAATTGCCTGAGTGAGGCGGGCAAACATCCTATAAAGGATTATTAATTTAATTTATCAATTTAACATACCTCAATCAAATTCATATCATTATTAATACAAAATAATACCAACAGATTTTTAAATCGTAGTTTTTTATAATACGATTACATTTGATATCTTATTATATTGTTTTCATCTTATCCGTATCTCTTTTAACTGTTGAGTTATCAACATTTTCCGATTTATAAGTATTTTTATATTACTGATTGGTTAGGTTTCAATGACGAAATATTCAAAATATTAAGTAATTATAGGCCTGTAACATTTTGTGTACCATATAATGTAAATTTATTTTTAATGTCAATTGGTCAGTTCATGTATCTGTAGTAAATAATGTCCATTTTGGCCAGTATGTGGTCAGTTAAACACCAGCAGGCCATTATGATCTTGGATATCGTTGATTTATTGCAAATATTGGGCTGATGAACCCTCAAGCTAAAATATATTTAGGGATATAATTGAGCTATCCTCAAACTCATTTTATTAAAATAATATCACTGAGCAGTAGATTTAAAAAAGTGTGTTTAAATAGTTAAGATGTAATGTGTATTTATGTATTCAGAGAGTATAACAGATTTTTAGATGAACAGCGTGTGAAAAATATATCTAGCTTAAAGAAGAAATTATGGTACATATTTATTTTCTTAATGCCTTATTTTAGCAGTGTTTAAGAAATGTATACCAACAATTATCTTGATTAAAAGTATCTTAACGAATCACTGTTTCAACACATTACACATTTTATGCTTAATGGTAATAATATGTAATAACTTGATAGTAAACCTAAAATAAACATGTTTGAAATGTTTTGGTCTCAAAAGTAATGTTGGTAAGCCATTTTCGACGGTCTAATAATTAATCTGAAATCACATAATTATTGGATAGTACATTGGATTCATATGGTAAATTTAAATCGGTAATGATTGATCGAGAATTAATTTGACTTGGTTAATGTATGTAATTAATTGTTGGTCTGGCCTAATAAATAACTTATTGACTTATTGATAATGGTGTGGAATGCGCTTAGGTAAAGATTTTAAAAACAAAATAAATTATTAATACACATCACCCCTTAGCAGAAAATTTTTAAAGTTAATAAAACTAAAACTAAAAGCGATTCTAGTCAAATATTCATTATATCCCAAATCTTTAAACATCAAACGAAATTACGCTTGTAAATATTCTAAAATACATTTTATTGATACAAACAAATAGTTTTGTTGCTCAAGTTAGTTTGTGGCCACAAGACGAGTTACATTCCTAGAGTTTGTAGTTAGCTAGAACTAGATAGTTTCCGTTCGCTTTAACATTCAACTAAAGCAAACTTAACCAACTGATACAACAAACAACTTGACTGCAACATGAAGCTGCACTGTGGCTTGGCATCAATAAACTTATAAACTACCAACTATGCAGTATAACAATGTTTCTTCAATAGTTCTTTACAATATTATTAGTAAGGTTGTTTCTAGAAATCCAAACAATTCTGTAACATAAAATACAAGACAAAAGTATTACTGTTTCTACCTAGTGGCATTTTAATTAAAGCAATAGCTAGCTTAAACGCATTAAAAAGTGGTCCAAAAATATTAGAGTTTTGTGGGTGTGCCGGGAATTGAACCTGTTCATCCCGCACCGAATCCCTACAACTACTTATTGGTTGTGCACATCTTGTAACAACTTGTTCTTGTTATTATGTTATAGTTATAGTATTTTAATGAATTGTTCCTACTACTGGAAACCCTTGACAACGTGGAAAAAAGTTTTCCCGATGCAAACGTTAGGAACGTACCTGTATAAAGACTTAACACAATGTAGGATTGATGATGGTGGACACAGTCATCATGACGGAGGGTGAAATTAATTATTTATGTTTTCTCTTGTTAGTCAAAGGTATTCTTCGAAATCCTAAGCTAGACTTTGACAGGTTATGGAATAGGAACGGTGTAAGCCGTGAAGGCTAAGGCAAAAAACTAAATTGGCAACTCATTAAAATCTTAAAAAAGTCATAAAAAAATTAAATTTAGCATCTTTGTTGACCTGAGTTGAATAAATGTGACAGTCAATCAAGGTCTACGTTTAACAGAGTAGAGGGCTTTTTAAGTGATTTTACATTCAACTCAAGCTATCAAGTCATCTGTATAAGCAAAACAATGTTGACCCTTTTCCTAAAAGTTATGTCAATGTTTAATTTAAATTATATCAATTAATATTTTTTCCCTTGATAGTATTTTGCGTTTTTTTTGTTGTTGTTAAATTGTAAGTTATAATTACAAATAACTGGTGTTTAAACTCTGTAGTGAAACCAATCATTTCAATTATAATGCAATTGAAATATAAACATAACTTGGTTTTCATATCTAAATGTAACAAAGATTACTAATAAAACACTACATTAAACATGATAAAATATATATTTTTAAATCAAGATTTAGTTGAATCTGTGTTTAAAAAAATCCTTTTTTGGCAATAAAAATTTCATTTATACTTTAAAAAAGTTGTTATTCATTTAAAAATATAATGCTTTCTTAAAAAAATTATATTTAAAGAAATGTTAACTACCGAGTAAAGTTATCAGGAAATAAGGATTAGAAGGAATTAAGACATTTCATTAATTCACGTTAATTGGACTTTAACTAATCCACTTGGAGAACTCCTTAAGAGGGACTACAATCGTAAATTCAATAATTATCTTAGCAATGGTACAACTATTTTTAGGAGACAAATACATTGCATTTCTGATAAAATATGATTTGCAACTATGGTCTTAAATTCTATCTACGATTTTTTAATGATTTAATACCAACAATATATGATAAGAAGTTCCTTAATTGCTATTTCATGTAAGATAGTGCGTGAGTGCTTTTACAGAAAGGGAACAATGCACCATTGAATCTGGGAAGCAACTGAAGGGTCTATAGACCCATGCAAACACCGCTCGACTATTATTGTCTTACATGTTCGTTGAGTGTTAGACGGTTCCACTCTAGTAAATGATGATGGTTGATGAGGTTTTTCATTTTATCTTAATTTGATGGATCTACGATCATATTAGAGTGGCAATGAGCTCATATGAGACACTGTTTATTTCTGCTATTGTATTTTTTTAGTTTCATATATTTTTTGAACTATAATGTTATGGGAAAGTAGCACAGCTCACACCAATTATTAATAATGATAAAAAAAAACTCTCCTTCTTTTATGCTTTAACTAAAGCTTTCCGTTTAAGCTATAATAATTGTATTGGAACTGAAATTTAAATATTACAGTGTTAAATAATTGTTGACATGTTTATCATATCAATTTTCATCGTATTAGTTAGGTTTTAATTTTCATTCAAATAATATAATAGGAATGAAATGAAAACTAATGCAAACTTTTTTAACACATACATAATACATTTAAATGACTTCTTGATCAGGATTGTACGGGCTATTAAATTTACGGAAAGTAAAGAAAAGATACGTCTCATAACACTTAAAACATATTCAATAATATTATCTTAGCGATGGTTAAAAACGCTTGGTTACGGTCGTGTTGGTTACATGACAGTAAATATACAAAAAAGATGGTAAGTGGTGATAGATTTCGATTGGCCACTCCAATTATCATCAGACTCAATTATCATTTGCCTATTGGGTCTGATGATAATTGGAGTGTCCAATTGAAATCGATCACCACTTACCATTTTTTTCCGTCATATGAGTAACAGTATAAGCGTAAATATATGTTTTAAGTGTTATAAGACGTATCTATTATTTGCTTTCCATAATACATTTACATAATATATGATTCATTTTTAATTCCATTCGTAGAGTTTCCCGATACAACCACTTACTATTCACTAACTAACATGAATAAACTCAATTAACCAAATTTCCTATGTGTAATATGGTAAATCAAGGATCATTAGTGTGGGAACGGACGACGAAATCACATTACCAGACGGCTCTTGAGGGTTGCTCTACAGTATACAGGGAGAAGTAAGTGAATCTTAGCTACTACCATTTCAAAAAGAGTGGGTGAAATATATGAGCACTTTCAAGTGGTAAAGTGCATAATAAAGTAGTTTTACCTAAATATTTTTTACGAGGTACATTGTCATTAATTTTGTTATCAATCAGCTTTTTTCTAAATGGTAATTTGTACCTGTTGAAGAATAAAGATTGTTTGCCTTGAATGAGTAGACTTTATTTAACACAATTCAAGTAATGGAATTCATAAGTAAGAGTTAAATCTAGAGAATGAAATAATGATTACAAACATTCAACATAAACAAATAAAATAACAATGTTTAACAACAGCTGGGAATATTTTCAATCACATTCTTCCCCGCTAATATAATTTAAAGTCTTTAAGGTGAGAAGGTAGTTTCTTCTGTCTTGAGCTTCGTCTCTGTGATTGTGTTTCATCAGTCCTTAAGGTTTGCAGAGGCTCTTGAGTTGCAGATTCTTCTATCACCTCTGCATCGGGATGAGACACATCCTGGGTCTCGTCTACTAAGTTTACATCGCTATTAAGTTCCATTGTGTGGTTCTCCGGTGTTGATTCATCATCAAAATCTGTTCTCTCAGCTTGTTTTCCACAAGGAGCTAAGTTGCGTGTAGACACTGTTGTCTCACGCCCATCTGGCAATCGTACATGAGCGTAATCAGAGTTTCCTTCCAGCAATGTCACCTCCTGCACTATTGGTTCATACTTAGAGTTTCTGATAGGACGTCTCATCAACACTTTTCCAGGAGTCATCAACCAGGTTGGTGTGGAAACACCATTTTGTGATCTTCTGGGATGTCCAAACATTCGTTCATGTGGCGTAAAATTCGTGGCAGTACAAAGCAAGGATCCGATAGAGTGAAGAGCTTCATCCAGAACTAATTCCCACTTTGTCACGTCAAGTTGATAGTTCTTAAGGGCAAGTTCTACTGTTCTCCAGATTATACCATTATATCTCTCAACCTGGCCATTACACTGAGGGTTGTAAGCAGTAGTCCGACTAGAAGCAATGTCGTTTAAAGCGAGAAACTCCTTTAGTTCTTTTGAAAGAAAAGAAGATCCCTGATCGGAGTGAATGTAGCTAGGAGTACCGAACAATGAAAATAACTGTTTCAGTTTGCAAATAACAGTCGAAGAGGACATATCAGGACAGGGGTACGCAAATGGAAATCGTGAGTACTCATCAATGATTGTTAGCATATACCGATTTCTTGTAGAAGAGGGAAGAGGACCCTTAAAATCCAGGCTAAGACGTTCAAACGGTGATGTTGCTTTTATTAATTTTCCATCATGTTTGAAGAATCTTGGTTTTACTTCAGAACATACCTTACAGGAAGCAGTCATTCTTCTTACCTCATCAAGGGAGTATGGTAAATTTTTGCTTCTTATCCAATGATACATACGAGTTTCACCAGGATGACACATTCTTTCATGATATTGATGAAGTCTGTTCATTTTGTCGCTCATCGAGCACACTCGTGATAGAGAGTCAGCAGCTACATTCAGTTTACCAGGTCTATAAACAATATCATAACTATAGCTTGATAGTTCTAGTCTCCACCTCATGATTTTGTCATTCTTAATTTTCCCCGATATCTTAGAGTTGAACATGAAAGAGACAGACTTCTGGTCTGTTATTAGTTTGAAATGTCTGCCTAGCAAATAGTGTCTCCATTTTCGTACTGACTCCACGATTGCATATGCTTCCTTTTCAACCGAACTGTGCTTTAGTTCACTATGAGACAGACCTCTTGAGAAAAAGGCTACAGGTTTTCCTTCCTGGGTCAGTGTTGCTGCTATTACAGTGTCAGATGCATCAGTCTCAACAGTGAAGGGTAGATCAGGATTTATGGGACTCATTGAGGCATTTTCAATCTCTTGTTTCAGTTCATTAAATGCCTTTATAGCCGTTGCGGATAAAGGGAAAGAGCTGGTTGTCAGAACTTTAATCTTTTCAGAAAATCGTGGGACATATCTTGAGAAATGGGAAAACATTCCTACTGCCCTTCTTAGGGATTATGCGTTTGTGGGCAAGGGGAAATTCTTTAGAGGTAAAAGCCGATCAGAATCTGGCTTAATGGTTTTGTTGCTTATTGTATATCCAAGGAGACTAATAGATTTCATTGAAAAAGAACATTTATTTTCATTAATAGTCAAGTTATACTTGCTAGCAGCGTTCATCAGCCTGTTTAGGTTCCTATCATGCTCCTCTTGTGTTTTACCACATACTGTTATGTCATCTAAATAAGCAAATGTGTCATTAAGATTTTCTGCCCTGATTATGCCATCAATAACTCTCTGGAATGCAGCAACTCTATTTGTCACCCCAAAAGGAATTCTGGTAAATTGATACAGCTGACCACATGCTTCAAAAGCTGTAAAAGGCTTATCTTCAGCCTTGATCGGTATTTGATGGTAAGCGCTTTTTAAATCAATGGCACTAAACACTTCATAGTTAGCAACTTTATTGACAATTTCTTCAAGATTTGGGATTTGATAAGCATCGAGACTTGTAAATCTGTTTATAGTGTTAGAGTAGTCTATTACCATACGCTTCTTATGGTTTTCGGAGCTGGTAACAAAAGCTTGAGCTCTCCATGGAGATATACTTGGTTCTATTACCCCTTCATGCAATAGTGAGCGAATTTCTTCTGAAATAAACTGATAATCTGTTACTGTATGACGGCGAGATTTCACAGAAATAGGGTGACAATCATGTGAAATATGCTCAAATAGTGAAGCTTGTGGTACATTTGCAGCAGCTACAGATACTATAGCAAGAGGAGATTCGGGTCCGCCTAATGTGAGTTCTAATTTAGAATGGCGACTGAGTAAATCATGACCTATTATCAAATCACAACAGAGGTTGGGTAAAATGCACAAAATCACATTTTTGTATGAGTTACCAAGAATCTTCAAATTAACTTTGCATTCACCTTTAGTTTTAGAAGTTAACTCAGAAGCCGCCATTGATACTTGACTGATTTTAGAAGGATAGGTTTTTATTTTCAGCTGATTTACTAAGTCACTACTCAGGAAACTAGTGGTACTACCAGTGTCAATTAGGGCTTGAGCTGCTTTACCATTTACATTAACTGGGACAATAGCTTTTGAAAGACCTAGGGGATAACTTGAAGAACAACTTATGTGGCTTATGACAGATGAAGTTGTATGTTTAATTTTTGAGTTTTGACCAAAACTTGATTTATCTATTTGAGAGGAAGACTTACATACCTTAACAAAGTGACCCTTTTTACCACAACCTTTACAGTAAGAATTTCTTGCGGGACAGTCATTTCTTGGATGTCTATTGAATCCACAGAAGAAACATCTATTATTACTCCCAGAAGTAGCGGCTATGGTTGGATTATTTGTATCATCGTCTTGAACGATTGAGTTTTCTTGTTTTAAAACTGAATTGAGATTTGAGCTGGGTTGATATAGGAGGGCTTGTCGTTGTGCACTTTCCAAACAACGGGCCTGTTCATAAGCATCTTGAAGAGGCAGCTTAAAGTTCTCTAGCAGTCTCTAGCGAATGTGTGGAGCAATCAGACCATTTACAAATGCATCTATAATGCAGTCATCTCTATTTTCTTCTGCAGAAGTAGCTTTAAAATTACAGTCTTTGCTGAGTATCTTTAAAGCTTCTAGATATTGGTCAACTGATTCTCCTGGTTGTTGCTGACGAGTAGATAACTTATGGCGAGCAAATACTTCGTTCACTGGCTTACAATATAGATTTTGAAGATTACCAATTGCATCTTTAAAATTCAAACATTCACTGATATAAGTATATACTGAAGGCACCACATAGTTGATTAGAAGTTTCAATTTCTCAGATTCATTTGCTTTTGTCACTTCAATAAAATTTGTAAATGTCCTGAGCCAGTGATTCCATTCCATTGCTGCTGTTGAAGAGTTTGGATCTATTGAAAGTTTTGCTGGAGCATAATGTTTTTCCATGATTGCAGATATTGTGTTAAATAAATTGTTGAAGAATAAAGATTGTTTGCCTTGAATGAGTAGGCTTTATTTAACACAATTCAAGTAATGGAATTCATAAGTAAGAGTTAAATCTAGAGAATGAAATAATGATTACAAACATTCAACATAAACAAATAAAATATCAATGTCCAACAACAGCTGGGAATATTTTCTATCACAGTACCATAGACACATGTAAACAAAAGTGCTATTTCACGTGACCAATATGCATGTTTGTAACCTTTTACATTTGTGTATGTTTTTGATAAACATATCTGAGTTATATTGAAACCAGAAGCAAGCAGAGCAACATTGCTGTACATCAATTAGGCCTGTTACCAGAGAAAACTCCTAACACATACGAATGTTGAAAGTTACAGTAGTAAATCTCTATTTAAAATGGTCATTATCATTGAAAAGATTCTTTTGTGGTGTACCAGTAAAATTTATACAAAAACGTTCCTTAAATTTAGTACAATATAAAATTATAATGCATTCCCAAAAAGTAGAGAATTTCATATTAAAATTTGTTTACGGTAAAGGTATTTAATATACAATTTATTGATGTTGAACGATTCTTGAAATAGTTTCTTTGAACCTTTGAGGCGATGTCACATGTTTTCTAGCTATGCTTTGTACAAGCGTTGTACAAATTTGTACTGAGCTTGCTCCGTAGCTATATATATCATCAAAATAATTGTTGGTTTCTATTACACAAAGTAATAGAAACCAACAATTATTTTGAAAGTAATAACAAAGTAAACAAAAGTAACACACAGAGTAAACACAAAGTAATAGAAACCAACAATTATTTTTATGTCATGTTGAAGACGAGGGAATGAATAGGCCTAATAACTATCAAATTTAAGGTCTAACATATACAATAGTTGTAATATTTGTTGTGTTAGGAAGTGTATAGATAAATTACAGGAATAAGGAGGGAAGTAAACAATTCTTTATCAATGAGCCATTTAAGCTGCTTTCATAATCTCTATTGTTTCAGTTTTAATTACCCCTTTGTTTACAAAAGATTGATGTTTAATGAGAAAACTTGTTTTTATTTCTTGTAGACTAAAGAAAAATTTAAAATGCTTTGTTGGTTACGCTTAATATTTTCAATTTGGCAATTATGAGGGAGTTTTGAGTTCTATGAATAATTAAGAACAAACTAAGCATACGTTTTAATATCTTAAAGATAATGTGATCATTATTCAAACGGCAGATATTTGTGGAATGTAAAATTAAACTCTGATCCAACAAGTCACATACTTGTTTTATATTACAATATGATATCGTTAGTAAAATAAATGTGTTTAAGTAATTAATGCACTCATTTTAAATGTTAATTATATTCCCAAACGTGTTTAAGGCAACATTATTTGTCAGGTGTGGCTTTACATTTAAAAATTACAAGCAACAGTATGTTTTAGTTATAGTTTTTTAAGTATTGGAATGATTTAACGTTTTAACCATACCACATAAAAACCATAATTTAAATTCAGCTTTAAGTCTTGAAAAAATGTTCCTTGTAAATAAAAAAAATAACTCACAAACTAATATTTATGTTTAAAAACTGCAACAACTAGTTGTTTAGTTATTCTCAATGCACGATAATCATCAGTATTTTATGATTTTAAACATTTTATTACTCATTTTATAACTCATTTTATAACTCATGTAACAAACTACATAAAAAAAATAAATCAGGCTATTCTCACAACCAAAATAATATTTCGGATCTATTCTACTTATATCTATCTAATAATGATTTTTTTGTAGGAATACTGGCGTTTGACAATCACTGTAATGAATAACCAGACCTGTAATGTAACAAGCATTAAAAATGTACAAAAACCAACTATTAGTGTTACACAGCTTGATAATGTTTAAACACAGCGTCTTAGGTGTTTCATTTACCAACATTAAACAGAATGTAGCATTAGAGGTTAACCTCGGGCTTATTACACCTTCCGAGACGCTATAAACTGAAAACATAACAATTACCGAGATATTCTTCAATAGCACAACCCTTGCACTGTACATGATACTTACCACTGTGAAATTGTTTCAATAAATTATTTTGTAATTTATTTTTTAATATTGTGTTCAGTGGTTAACTGTGCGATTGACAAAAGATAGACTCCTTTGTGATAAGTTAAACAAAATAATAAAAAAGTTTTGATAATGAGAAGGCCGATTTTGTATGAGGAAGGGGCGTAGTAAAATTAACAAGACTTACTTACACACCCAGTGTTTCAATATTATAAAGCTGAAATCAACTTTTTAATCCCTAACAATTAAATAACATAAAAATATTTGTATTACATTTTACCCATATACAAAAAGTTTCAACTTTTTTTGTACAGTATTATCAATTTATAAAACAATATAATTTGCTTTTAGAGACTAGGCATTACCCATATTGAAGTTGGGTTTCCTTTTTAGAATTAAAACTAAAAATAACGTGAAAACACAACATTATGTATCGTAAACACAGATTCAAAACATACATACAAGAGTCTGAAGATTTTTCAGACAGCTCAGCATACCTGCAATTTACAGAATAAAAGTATTTTCTTATATAAAATCACTTGTTTAAGCTATATCATTTTAATAATTTTACATTTGGGTAATTTATTAACAAATTTTAGCCCCCAACTTGTTTTAAGTTTTACTCAAAAAATTATATGCGTAACATTAATAAGATTGCCTTTTTTGTCATTATTCAATAAACAAAGATATATCGACCATCTTCTATATCGACCATGGTCATATAGAGGATATATGACCATGATTTATACATCGTTGTCATATTTAGAAATTATTATTTTAATAAAAAAATGGAGGGAATTGACTTAACAGTATCAATTTATTATGTTGCATGTGTACACATTTGTGCAGTTATTTTTTTAAAGTGTGAATTCATAGATTAGATTGCATAAA